ACGAGTTTGATTTTGTCATACCACGTGACATTTTTCGTCACATGTATTGTCCTAATACATTGCTAGATGTCAATCTGGGATGGCGAGTGTTGGTGATAAATTAAAAAGGTGTTTTAATTTATCAATTTGATTAGATCAAAATAATATTTCACGTCGTTAGACATCGTGATCGGGAACCTGATGGATCACATACAAAAGGAGAACTGGAAGTTTGTGATTTATCAATTAATTAATTTAATAAGCGTTGGATAAATTAATTAATTGGGTTGCTTATTTATTGGTCCGACGCAATTAATTGGATTAATTAATTCACGGACTAGATTTAATTAAATGGGTTAATTAAATATTGATCGGGTTATGCCAAGCTCATTTGGGCTTATATAAATAAATTATTAGGGTTTACAAATCTATAGAGAGAATTCATTATTCTTGCTAGCACAAGAAGAAAATCATAATTCTACAATCTTGTTCTCTGTGTGGATCACCGTTGGAGGCTGGACAATTGGACAGTTGTGGAAGGCAGATCAAGGTTGTTGGAACAAAGAAAAAGCAAAAAGGTTTGCAGATCTAGAAAAATGTATGATTTTTATCACAATTTCTATCTAAACACAAAGACGATTCCTGGTAAGAATCGAAATTTGTTTTAATTTTCGCTGCGCATGTTAAGTAGATTCCCAACAAGATGTTATTTGTTATTGTTCTGATAGATCGACATGATATGTTAAAAAAAAATCATTTGTTAAGACGAAGACTTATTCTTCACCAGTACTATTCTCTAATTTTGACTAATTGTTTGATTTACTACAGGCATTCCACAGATCGTGAGGTTGCCATTATGATGCTTTTGGCATACCTTTCCTACATGCTATCCGAAGTAAGTATTTTGCACAACTTGTAAGGAGCTTATAGAACTTGGCATTCTTCTTTGGCAACTTTTAAGAAGCTTTTACCTAGTGTTCCAATTTAACAGATGAAAGTTTCTTTCGGCCATAATATGTCGTGCAGTTATTCAATTTAAGTGCTATACTCACTGTATTCTTCTGCGGCATTGTGATGTCACACTACACTTGGCATAATGTCACCGAGAACTCAAGAGTCACCACCAAGTATGGCGTTACCTTGTCACAAAATAAAACTTTTAGACTACATTATTGCTTATGACACTTCCCATACCCTAAGTTTCATAATAAATTGACATTTCTTATTGATTTGTATCTTCAACTATTCTGCAGGCACACCTTTGCCACTTTGTCATTTGTTGCTGAGATATTCATATTTCTTTATGTTGGCATGGATGCTCTGGACATTGAGAAGTGGCGTATTGTAAGTAGCAGGTATGGCTTATATGTAGATGAAATATTTAGCCTCCGCTTGGCAAAATTTATAAATCATTTATAAATTATCAAATTTCATTTTAACTATACATTCCATTGGACCCACAAGTACTATCTGTCACTCAATTTTATCTATTTATAAATTAAACCTTTAATTTTTTCTCAAACGGAGGCTTAGCCACCATAATCTAGTTTCATGAACTTTGCTATAGAAGAAGAGACTTTGCATGCTGTTTGGTTAGAAAAACATTATTGACTTTTTTGTTTATTGTTAGCCTGAAGACGTCAATTTCTGTCAGTGGAATTCTGTTGGGATTGGTTTTGGTTGGACGAGCAGCCTTCATTTTTCCTCTATCATTCTTGTCTAACTTGACCAAGAAGTCTCCAAATGAGAAAATTGACTTTAAGAAGCAAGTACGAGATCAGAAATAATCATTTCAACTATACAACATTCTTCATTTGTTTGGGCTATCTAACAATGCTTCCATTTGTGATTTGCAGATTACAATATGGTGGGCTGGTCTTATGCGAGGTGCTGTTTCGATGGCACTTGCTTATAAACAGGTAAATTATTAGCTATGACTATTTCAGTGAAATAGAATGGTTTCCCCAACCTTTATCAATGATGAAAGTGCATTCACAATTTTTGAACATTTTTTTATCATACTTTTGTTGCCTAAAATCGGATGTAAGAAAGTTAAATAAGAAAATATACCCAAGTATCGACACTATTTTTTTGAATTGTGACAAGAATAGGAATGAACTAAACAGAACGAGTCGGTTCTTGTCTATTTTGGTTCAATTACCCTACATGGAACTATTTGATATTTTTATTAAATAGAATTCTTATTGGTACTTAGTTTGGTTTGCTCTAATTCATTTCCCAGTCGAACTGAGTCGTTCCTTTTGAATTTTTTGTTAAAAATATTTGCAACTGAAAATCATTTAAACCATCGAAGAATTTTTGTTAAATGAATATCATTATTAGCCTTTGTTTGAGTTACATTATTTTCATAAGAATGTATTTTTGAATAGTGTATTGATGAAAAATGTATGGTTAAAAAATAAGGAAAAGTTTTGGATTTGCGTGTAATGTTA